TGCAAGGTAGAGGTCAAACATGCCTTCACCCCCTCACCCCCCATCCTTCTTTGCTCTCTTTTGACACTAGCTGTGTAGTCTGGGTAGGTGAGAGAAACAAATTCATAGACATATTTATATAAGAAACAGGTTTATATACAAGGACAATTGAATATTGAGAAAACAGCCCAGTCCAGATCAAGTCCATAGGTCCAATATTAGCCCCTATGCCCAATACCAATCTATAAAGTTCTTCAAACTCATGAAATACATGTAATGATGTGGAATGCAGGAGGATCACAGGCCTGTGGGTTTGAAGTCTTGTGGATCTAGTGGCATTGTAAGCATTTCAGCACTGGCAGGGGTCTCTACATGACTTCTCCGGCTCCAGAGGTCTGATTGCATCAGAGTTGGTCCATGTGACTTCTCCAGCTCCCAGGGTGTAGCACCATGTGTCCTGTCAGTAGAGCGTATCCCAGGGAATAAGCGTTGTCAGTAGAGAATCTCCAAGGGAGTGACCCCAGAGAGAGTCTGTCTCCTGCCTCCAAGGAGGAAATCATGGAACCCCCAGAATCCTTAGGGGAAGGCCCTGCCCACACAGAGGCCTCATTGGTTATGATCTGATTGACAGACTAGACTCCACCCCTTCACTCTTAATCCCCTCAAGTCCCAAATTGACACCAGATTATGTACCTGCTATACTAGCCATCTCCTACTTTTCTCTCACTTCTCTGATGTGTTCAATAATCCATTGTAATAGCTACGCAGAACTCACAAACAATATGATTATGAAAGTGTATTTGGGAAGTTGACGGGTCATCACAAATCAGGATTAAAAAATATTGTAAGAACACAGTTCTTTGTCTGCAACATGACCACTTCTCGTGATGGCAGCAAGTACACTGCTTTCTAGTCTTTACCACTTAGTCAGTCCTTTGTCCTCTGCCCGGTTCTGGCCAGTGTTACAAACGTCTAATGCTGATATTTACCTATAGATCACCCCACTCTGAAAGCCAGTATTTTGCCTGAGGTACTCAGTTTTACTTAGTCTAGGAAACCTACTGCTCTGTCCAATAGGTTGGCATGGCTCTTCTACTCTGTCTCATGGTCTTGGCACTGCTGCTTCTGGTGCCTTTGTTCCTGGCAAGTTCAGGAAGGGATATCCCACGTGATCTTCTAATAGTCTTATTTCCTGATGGTCACGGGAGTCCCTTTTCTTGCTGCTGAGATAGCTCACTTTTAAACTCAGTAAAATGACAAAACTGACCTCTACACCTTATTTGCATTTACCTACTCCGACATGCCACCACTTATCTGTCAGTTTGTCATACTCTGGTGGCTTTCATGTTGCTGTGATGCTGGAACAGTAGCCTGGTAGTGT